GGCGAAGGGACTGGATAATGCCTGACCTGGGGGCTAGAGTATTGTTCTAAGATATCACAGATGTAGGTACTAAACCTCCTGTGGGTGAGGAGGTTTTAACCTAGGTCTTCTACTCTTAACCTTAAGCTAGTGGCTATGGAGCTACATGGGAGGGCTTTCCTTCTCTGGCAAGTGATACCTGTTAGTTATGTGTTCTTGTCCAGTACAATATTATGACTTCTGCTTACCCATGGTCACATACCAGCCTGGCTTGAAGTGCAGCCTGGTGCATATGCTCAGTAGCAATGGAGTAGAATAAAAAACTACACATATGTGCCCCAAATAGCAGTTATGTGGCTGGGTAACTGCCATTTGGATCTGTTGAGTGAAAAAGGATTCTGCCATAGGTGTACTTATGTTCCCAGCAGGAGGGAAAAATGGGGCTTGTGATGGTTGGAGAATAGCTTCATTAGATGTGACTCTCTACTACTGTTGCTAGAACAGAATTGACCCTTACTCTAATGTTTTCTGTGTTTCGAGCAGCTGAGAGTCAGGGGGTTGCAATCAGTAGTTCCCAGGGTCCCCTGTTCACAAATGTCCAAGCTATGCTCAGCTACAATGGGCCAATTCTCTTCCTTGCTTCTCTTTTCTCTTTCAGTTTGTGGGGCTTAATTATCTTTTCCAGCCTTCACAGGGCTATTTGTACTATCAAAGGTATGTGTGTTGGTTGCATTGTTTACAGGACTGTGAGCAGGAGATTCTATATGTGATTATTTTTGGGTACATTCACTATCTTTCACTAAAATCTTGAAACATCTTGGCTGCTTTTTACTATCCATTCGACAACGGTGCAAGAGTAATCAGGAAAAGAATTTAGTGAAGCCAAACACTTGTGTAGGCACACATGGTTTAATTTGAATTCACTGTGTTACCCTACTGAAATCAGGTACTAAAGGCATAGGGATGGCACTGTTCACGGTCATTCTCATGGCAAGCAGCAGGGGCTTATTGTGCCATAAATATGTGCCACAGGGGAAAGGCAGGAAGACTGTATTACCCATTGACATATTATCTGCTTGGTTTCTGTATGTTGAGGGTAGCTTTAAGTTGTGCCAGAGACTTCTTAAAAAATACACTGATATGGATGCAGCAGGGATCTGAGGATAAAGCACTTATTTGCCCCCCTCCATTCTGCCTTCTCTCAGTGCCTCCTGCTGTCGGGATGGTACTGTTTCCTTTCAGGCTCCCTCACAGAAGGAGGTATACTATAACTTTCAATTTTGGTGAATTTTCTGACTATTTCTCACATTAGAGGAGCTTCTTAGAATGGATTGGGACAGTTCATTGGGAATTGCTTGATATTTTCAGCTTCAATCTACCATTATAAATCTGAGACTATTTTCGGTGAAGTAATTTTGTCATCCTCTTTCACTAGGTAATAAAGCATAATGGATGCCCTGAATGAACACACTTATGTAGTTGCATAAGGGAACATTTTTATTTATGTATCCTTTTTAAATGATCCCCATAAATAATCTCTCCCTCAAACTTAATCTGTTAGCTAAGTCACATATAGCATACTGAATATGTATTAAGGATAAGCTTTTTCCATTTTTAGGATAAAACATTAAATGACAGATGTCCACAATTCTAATACCAGATGCCACTGATGGAAAAGGTTTATGACCTGAATACTCTTAAAGAATTTCCTTTCCTAAATGCACATTCACAACAGTGAATCAAAACTCATAGAAGAGGTGTGATTTCTTTTATTAGATCAACTAGGTATTTGCAAACAAATTATTGTATTTGTCTGCAATCTTTCAGGCACACTCACCCTTCATCAGGCATAGGAGAGAGCAGAGATTTTAAAAGTTGTCCTAGGTAAAGATGAAAATGAATATTTCACAGGAGAGCTGAAGGTATGGTAAAGTCTCCTGTTTGGAATAGTTCATTTTGTCCACGTTAGGCACAGAGAAAAGTTGAAATCATCTTTTTACCTTGAAGTTGGCAACCTGGATGTAGAGGCATATTTCCTTCAGGTTATGATATTTCATATTTCACAGAAGAGTGGAAAGATGGAAAGCTCTTCTGGGCAGGAGTTTCTTTTGTGGTGAGGTATCTGTGTTTCTGTGCTCTGAGAGATGCAAATTCACTCAAACAATGGCAGGAGCCTGGTGTTAGCAATTCAGATGGTAAAATACTTCCTGCTTGTAAAAGGCAGTATTTCTGTTGGTAAAATACTTCCTTCTTGTACAGTTATGAACTTTTCATTTTAAAAAAGTTTACAACAGCATCTCTTTTCATTGATCTAGATAACTGCAGTGGCTTTTGTTATCTCTGTACACATTAAGAGAGATCTATTGACCATGTACTGTTTGTACCATTCTACTTATTTATAAACATCATTTTCAGTGTGTGCATATGTGTGTGCAGGAGGAATGGGAGGGGGTGCTGACTTAATATGTTAGCACGAGGACTATTTGGAAACCTAAGCTATTTGGTGAAGTCTGTAATAGCTTCCACTGACTTCAGCCAAGCAGGCTGGAGCTTATTGTTGGTGTGTGAGTGGTTGGTAGTATCAAATAAGCTGAACTGTCTTCTATCCCCAGGTTTAAAGGGGAGAACATGCTCATTTTTGTAAGAGCTGTTTTGGTTCTTGATAATATATAACACTGGATATTGCAGGGGCAAGTGTTGCATAGAGATGGAACAAAGAGATGACCTAGATACTTATTTGAACTGCCAATGTTTGAACTACCAATGATTTTTGCCCCCATTATTTTCTTCTCCCCACCCCCACTTTCTAGCTCAAGCACAAGTTACAGGCCTGCTGCAGAAACTATTGGGTAAAGTCTGTGGCCTTTTGTCTTGAAAGATGACACAGTAGATCATCATACTGCATCCTTCAGCTCTCAAAGGAATCAGTGAATTTCCAAGAACTAGATTCCAAATTAGGGAATGTTCCTTTTGATTCTGGATAAATTGATACTTTTGCCAGTATAATACTTGCAACTTTAAAAAAAATACCTTTTTTTTGCCCCTTAAGCAAAGGCAAACAATTCTTATTGTTCATATGCCACTTTTTAATTTTCTCTTCTACCCGGGGCTTTCAAGTGTCAACCATGTTTTCCACCTTTCAAACCAGGTGGATTCTTATGTATATATTAGATACATACATACATATATATATATGCGCGCGCGCGCACACACACACACACACACACACACACACACACACACACACACACACACACACACACCCTTTTGGATCAGTAAATGGCAACTGTAAATGGAGGTCTTAGGTGACAAGACAGCATCCACTCCACGGTTCCCTCCACATAGGTAACACTATCTCAACAGACCTTAGTATCTGCCTTCCCTACTATCCCACAGATACCAGATGTGGTATGGCTCCACATTCTAGTTTCGTGATGGCTGGGGATAAGGCATGCTTGGGGAAGTGAGTGACTCCCTGTGTTCCATCTAGCCTTTGGTGTAAACCTCAGCATTTATGTTCAAGTTTTCTACTTCAGTTTCCAATACTCTTTTTTCTTGTGGTTTTCATTTTCTGGTCTTCTACTTCCCCCAAATCCTTTTTTCTTCCCCATAACTCTCAGATTATTTTATCTTTTTGTTTTATGTTCATCAAATGGGATGTAAGCCATGCCCTTGAATGTGTGCAGCTTTTGTTGAAGTTTATAGCTGCCCACATGCATGTCTTAGGTCAGACACTGGCCTTCAATTTAATTCCTTTTTTCCATTGTCTCCTTGATCTCTGCCTTTTAACTTCATCCTTGTGCTTCTTTCTGTCATGTATCTGCCACTTTCTCCTGGTTTTGCTTTCCTTTTTTACTCCATAACTTCTGTCTGTACTGTCCTTATTGTCAGGCCGACCTTCTCATTAGAAATTGTGTTAGCCCCATGTCGCGAGGCTTCACTGGCCATACTGTATTTTTTTGCTTCTAACCTGCACCTGCATCCCAGGAAACAGCTGGGGAAAATTAGGGTGTGCATTATATGCAAGGAAAAGGCTCTCCCTGGCTCTGGAAATTTGCGGGGAGGGAGGGTTGGAGTGGTAGCAACATTAATTGCTGTTGCTCCCAGCACTCCATCACCATTCTTTCCCTTCCCCCAGCCCTACCGGTTGCCAACTTTTCAGACCAGTGTGGAGCTCCCCTCCTCAGTTGCATGCCAGATCAGGATGGCATGAAGAGATTGGTCTGCACTTGGGCTTGGTGCACTGGGTCAAATCCAGCACATGCCCCCAGATCTGGTATGTGGCTCCAGAGCTAACACATGGCCCTGGACTCAGCTCATGGCTCTAGAGCCAATGCACAGGGTTAGACTCACTGTGCAGCCCTGGAGCTAACATGCCAGATCAGGCCCCACCATGCTGGTGTGATGGATTGGGCCCTGCAATGTCACTCTACTGGATGGGGGCCCAGTGCATGCCCCTTGGCTCTGACTGGCAGCCTCTGGCCCTGGAGATCCCAGACCTCTGATACTTACCCATACTCCAAGGTAATACATATATTTTGCCTTCTTGGTGCCTTCCAAAAATAGGGGATATATTATATTTGGAGCAGGCTATATATGAAAGAAAAAACAGTTCTCTTCAGATGGATTCACATAGAGCAGTGGTTCCCAACCTCTTTTTTCCACGACCTGCTGCTGGGAATGGAGTGCGGTGGCGGCAGCGGCCCAGGGACAGGGGAGCTCCCAGCATACAGTGTGGCTTGTCTTTTGTCTGTGGCATCACTGGCATTGCCCCTACAACTCTCATTTGGGTCATGACCCGGGGTTGGAAACTGCTGACGTACAACTAGCAAATTGGGATGCTTTGGGTCATTACATTTTTCAATACATTTGCCCAGATGTGGTGGAAGTGAGAACTACGTGTGTGTGTGTGTGTGTGTGTGTGTGTGTGTGTGTGTGTGTGTGTGTGTGTGTGTGTGTGTGTGTGTGTGTGTGTGTGTGTGTGTGTGTGTGTGTGTGTGTGTGTGTGTGTGTGTGTGTGTGTGTGTGTGTGTGTGTGTGTGTGTGTGTGTGTGTGTGTGTGTGTGTGTGTGTGTGTGTGTGTGTGTGTGTGTGTGTGTGTGTGTGTGTGTGTGTGTGTGTGTGTGTGTGTGTTAAGGCAAACACCTCATTCTAGGTATTAGGCTAATGTTCATGGTAAAAATCACGAGGTGTCATTTTTTCTGAAAAATCAGGCATTTCTTTTTGTTTTGATCTTACAGAGTTTTTATCAGGAGGAAAGCAAAGGATAGGGATTCTTTTTTCTTTACTGTATGGCCAAAGAGAGTCCTTTGTAGTAGTCTTAGCCTTGGGCTTTGTATAAAAGAAGCCATGTTGCATTAGTTTATCCTTAAGGCAGTGAATTGTGGATTTTAGCAAATCATTAATGACTTCTACAGGAAGAATGACCAGGCAAGAACAGGAAGAGATCGGAAACAGGTCTCCACAATTTGGCAGATAGAATATTTGTGCATGCAAATGTATAAGTGGTTAGGTCTGGTATGTCTAGACACAGTTGTAGATCACATGTGTGTGGTTTCTATTGTGTCCAGTTGTGCGCATTCCTTTTTTGGTTGATTTGTCTAATCTGTCATAAAGAAACTTCTGTGGATGTATTTTTCCACAAACTAAGATTTATATTCTAGAGATACATGCAGCTGGAAGTAAAGATATGTTATGTATATGCATACATTGTGGAATCATCAGACATATTTGCATATCTGCTTCAGTGTGGAATACAGCTGTTAGGTAGAAATTACTAGAGGACTACAGTTATATAGTATATCAGTAGTAATACTTGCTGCCTTTTGTGGAATGGGGAAATGTTCTAGTGTGTGCTTTTGTACTTTGAATGGTGGTAGTAAGTTAAAAAATGTCATCCGTCTACTAGTATGTGGTTTTGTAGTTTAAATTGTGGTATTAAGTTGAAAAATGCCATTATCAGTGTACTGTCTTTGGTTTTCTTCAGATTAATTTGTAGAATATTTGTAAAATTTTGTGTAATGATTTTCTCAGACTGCTTCAAAGAGAATCACTGTTGGTAAAATAGATGGACCTTACAGAAAGTGGCCAGTTCTTCATACATAACCAAGAGGAACATGATACCAAGATTTTCAATAACACAATATGATTTTTTTTAATTATATCTATTCAGAAGACCAGTGCTACAGCAGGTGACCAAACATTAACATAAGTTGCGATGGGATTTTTCTTCAGTTTGTGTGCATCTGTGTGTAAACACTTACTCATATACACATTAAACTCCACACTCATAATCATATTAAATTGAACACTCAGATATATAATACGTTATGTGTAAAGGGATTCTAGGAGAATACTGTTTTTTAGTCTTAGAATAAAATTAGGGTTCAAAGGGACCTCAGAAGTCATCTAGTCCAGCCCTGTGTGACCACATCACCCCAGCCAAGGCTTTGTTTACTGAGGTCTCAAAAACTTCCAAGGATGGAGATTCCACAACCTCTCTGGGTAGCCTATTCCTGTGCTTTACTACCATCCTTGGCTAAGTACAGACAATAAAAAAGACTAAGGCTGAAAAAATTCAAACTTTTCAGGTTAGTCTAAACTACATAGATTGAACTGATAAGCAAGTGGAGAGACATTGACTTTTGATTCCAAAAATGCAACCACATGACTGCAGTGGTTCAGGCATGAAGCCAGAGAGCACTAGAGCATGCCTCCCTGCTCAGCTGGAGCAGACAATCTGGGCCAAGACTAGCCAGGCTACCCTGCAATGGGGGGCTTGAAGGGGAGGTACAAAGTATCCTGGGTTGTTGGGGGACTGTGAGTTAACTTGAATCTGGAGAGGATTTGGGACAGAAATTCAATAAACCTATTTAACCTAAATCAGTTAAATCTGATACTACGTCCATCCAGGTTTATTTTAAATCCATTTTAGCCATTTTGAAAGCAGTTATGTATAATGAATTTCTATTGTGTTACAGATTTGAACTGGTTTCCAATCACCTATACCAGTTTGTGTGTAATTTCTGTTGCTAGCCCTGGTGAGAGAGATTTTCCTAATATGTAACCTAAACTTCCCCTGCTGCAACTTGAGGCCATTGCTCCTTGTTCTGTCATCTGGCACC